CAGATTTGTTTTACATTCAACAATTCATGCATAGTTGATTTCACGTCCCCAATTACCATCCCTAACCATTAAAAACCCTCCTCCACTCTCCTCCCTGTGCCCTTCTTATCTATGCATTTCTGTCTGTCCAGCTTTGCTCTGTGTGAATGCTGCCCCTCTGATGTCTCATGGCTGATTGATCTAAGGGGTACATCTCCCTAGGGTAGGTGGGGGCATTGCCCTGGGGTAGGTGTTCTGCATGTAGGTTTTTCTGCTGTTGGGCTGAGAGCCAATCTATGTAAGTGAGTCCATTTCTAGGCCTGAAGAGTAACCCAGGGCCATAGTCTCAGGGGTTCTACAGACTCCATCTGACCAGTAATTCTGGTCTTTTTTGTGTTTTTGAATTTTGTTCTACATTTTTCCTCCCACTCTATCCAGGATCTCTAGTTCTGATCTTAGTTAGATACTATTATTATTATTATATTGCAAATGAGGGAACTGAGGGCAAAAAAGGATGAGGTCAGCAGTTCAAACCCACCAATTGCTCTGCAGGAGAAAGATGAGGCAGTCTGCTTCTATGAAGATTGACGGCCTTGGAAACCCTATGGGACAGTTCTACTCTGTCCTCTAGGGGCACTGTGAGTTGGAATTGACTAGTTCTTTTTTTTTTTTTTTTTCTGATCTTAGAGACTTTATTATTGCTTCCAGTTAACTAAAAAAAAATATCTTCATGCTAACCAGAAGGTTGGCGGTTCATATCCACCAACCACTCCTCAGAAGGAAGATGGGGCAATCTACTTCTGTAGTGATATTGCCTCAGAAACCCAAGGAGGGGTCACTATGAGTTGGGTCCGACTCGAGGGCACAAAACAACAACAAACAACAACCCCATAAAAAAAAATAAATAGACTCACTGCCGTGGAGTCAGATCCGACTCATAGCGCCCCCTCCTTGGTCTTTCGAGGTGGTATCTCTATGGAAGTAGATTGCCCAACCTTCCTTCTGCGGAGTGGCTGATGGGTTTGAACCGCAAGCCTTCTGGTTAGCAGTCAAGTGCCTGAGGCACTACGCCATCAGAGCTCCTGTGCATCCTCATTGTGTTCCCAAAAAAGAGGCACTCAATTCAGGAATGAAAAGGAAACTCAATTTTGTTCCCAGATGATGGCCATGATGTGGTCTCTCAGCTAACCCACCCTCCATCAGTGCGAGGAGGGAAACCCAAGACAAACTCTTGTGATGGGACAAGAGTTGCTCATGAGCAAGTATAGGGCTGCCAGCTGGCCACTGAGCTTACCGTTAAGAAGTGACGGTCCTTTGCTTCACGTCTCCTCTGGCTGTGAGGTGGTGGGTAGGCCGGCAGTGGAGGAGCAACCACAGGAAGGGGAGCAGCAGCTCTCTGCTCTCTACGATCGCTCCGGCTACGATGTTCTGGGGGGGGGCAGAAAAAGCAGTAATACTGAAATATACTTGTCATTTTCAATTTCTCTTCCCCCCTTGAGAGTATTAGCAAAAGACTGTAAAAAAAAGTGAGGTTTCACTAATCTAGCTAATTTGAATACCAAATAATATTTTCAGAATGTTTTCTAACAACTTTAATATTAAGTTGGACAAATACATTTCAGTGGATTCATCTCATAATCTTTGTATGAGAAGGCTCACTGCTCAGTTTCAGAAAAATAAGTCTATTTCTCAATATGCCTCATTTTACAACAACAGCAGCAAAAGAAAGAGAGGGAGAAGGAAAAAGGAAGAAAGAGTGAAACATTCCGGAACAGCTGGTGGAAGATTTGTTAATATCAGTGCTGGAGTGGAAAACAAGGCCTAGCCTCTCTAGAGCTGCCCAGGCAAGCCTGAGACCAAGGTCCGTCTGCAGCCATCCAGTGGGGCCAGAGCCAGCTCACCCTGGCTTCAGAGAGCCGATTGCTAAGGATTCAAGAATTTTGTGAGCCAGTTGTTAAAACTGTTGGTAGGTTGAAATCAGCCTGTATTTACGTCACAGAAATTGGCAAATGCTGCTCATCAGGGGTTCTATGTATTTAGTTATATAATTTACTTTTCTCCAGAGAGCCGGTTGACCAATACACTACTCCAGCTATCTAAGCCCTGTCACCCATGAAACTCTGAGGTCTTGGAAATTGTGGGTCCTAGAGAAAGTAAAATCATACCAATGACAATAATTGGCTGATTTAGGAACAAAGCTACCATCAGGGAACAGCTAAGAAATATCCATATATGGGATGAAGTGGTCTTGACTTCTGAACACAAGTCATCAAGATGCCAAGAATACAATGTGGCATTTTGAGTGTCTTAGGAGCTCTGGTAGCATAGTGGCTAAGACACTTGCCTGCTAACCAGACGGCTGGCGGTTCAAACCCACCAGCCACTCCTCGGAAGGAAGGTTGGGCAATCCTACTTCCGTAGTGATACTGCCTCGGAAACCCAAGGAGGGGTCGCTATGAGTCGGGGCCGACTCGACGGCACATAACAACAACAACAACAAAGTGAAGGCCAAAGTGCACCCTGCCCAGAACACTGGCCACACCAAAGGCCACCACACCTGCGAACATCCAGGCAACGCTCACGCCCATGGCCTGAAATCTCTAGTAGCCCCCTCTTGATCACAGTAGAAATTTGTGCAGCAGATTTGCAAGTCTGTCCTTCTGTTATTTAAAATGACTATTACTTAGCACATCTACAATAATCATCATAAGGTCCTATATGTTTTGAGCAATTGGGATGTGCCAGAGATACTTTCATAGAAATCTGAAGTGCCTCATCTCAACAACCCCACTAAGTAGGTCCTAATGCTGCCCCTCTTTTGCTGGTGTCTAAAGAGGCTCACCAGAGCTCTGGTGGTGTAAGTGGTTAAGGCATTTGGCTGCTAATCAAAAGGTTGGTAGTTCGAACCTACCAACTGCTCTGTGGGAGAAAGATGAGACAGTCTGCTTTCATAAAGATTTACAGCCTTGGAAACGCAGTGGGGGTCGCTTTGAGTCCAAGTGACTTGAACAGCAGTGAGTTTGGTGTTTTGGAATCAGGCTCAGGGAGGGTAAGTTACTTGCAGAGACTTGTCTGCGATGTTATGCTCTTATCACTGCTTCTGCCTAGAGGCACGATAAAGGCCTGACATACCTTCTCACTTAGCAGAGCAAGATTTCCTTAGTCAGATAGTATTGGATTATAGCTATATTTTTGTGTTATGTTATTGTTCAGTGCCATAGAGCAAGTTCCAACTCATAGCAGCCCTATGTACACCAGGATGAAACACTGCCTGGTCCTGACATCCTCACAGTCGTTACCATGTTTGAGCACATTGTTGCAGCCACTGCATCAGTCTACCTTGGTGTGTGGGTCTTCCTCTTTTTTGCCAACTCCCTGCTTTACCAAGCATGATGTCTTTCTCCAGGGACTGGTCCTTCCTGATAATATGTCTAAAGAGACAAAGTCTCGCCAACCTCACTTCTAAGGAGCATTCTGGCTGTGTTTCTTCCAAGACAGACTTGTTTGTTCTTTTGGCAGTCCATGGTATAGTCAACATTCTTTGCCAACACCATAATTCAAAGGCATCAATTCTTCCTTGGTTTTCCTTATTCATTGTCCAGCTTTCACATGCATATGAGGTGATAGAAAATACCACGGCTTGGGTCAGGCACACCTTCGTCTTCAAAGTGACATCTCTGCTTTTGAACATTTTAAAGAGGTCTTTTGCAGCAGATTTGCCCAATGCAATGCGCTGTTTGATTTCTTGACTGCTGCTTCCATGGGCATTGATTGTGGATCCCCAACAAATGAAATCCTTAACAACTTCAGTTGTTATCCATGTTATTATTTTTTTTAAATCACATTATAATTCTTTGACATTGATGAGGCAGAGCATATACATTCATTATAAGCCAGAATATTTGGCAGCTCATATGGCACTACTTTTCTTACTCACGTTGGGAAACTGTTTCCTACACTGACCCTCTCAGGTGTGGTCAGCTACCCCTTCTCCAAAGCCACCATTATGCCCAGGGCCCGTTTCATTGTATTGATAAAAATAACGATCCCTATATATGTCTGCCTTTGCCATTACAAGTTGGCTCCTGGAGGACAGAGACTGTTTTGTTTGGCTTTAGGTCCCAGTGCCCTGAAGTGCCTGAGACATAGTAGGTTCTCAATAAATGTTTATTGAGTGAATGAAGGAATGAATTAATGCTTTTGTTAAAGTCTAGTCTTTTTAAATTGGAATGTGTTCCATATCCCTCTATTTCTAACGGACTGTGGTGTCAGTGTCCTCGTTGTTTGGTCCTTCCCTAGGTCCTATCGCTTGTTCTCGACTGGCCTCCACAGTGAAAGCCCCTTTCCTCTTTGTTTAATTCAAAATGCTGGCCCCTAAACTATAACTGAGCACTCACAAGCCTCCCCGGTACTCTCCATGTCTGACTTGACTGTCTGTGGGCCTCACTACTTGACCTTTGCCGACTTTTTGAGATAAATGTCTTTCTTGTCAAAGTGCCATCCTGTGGGCTACCTCCAGGGCCACCCTCATTTTTCTATGCAAGCAAACAGTGGGCTTTTCTAAATGGGAAGGGCAAGTGGAATACAGGTGCCACTGGTAAAGTTGAGGGTGGAAGGAGGGGAGGAGTCAGAAGGGAGACGTCAGCACAGTTTCCCATTCAATTGCTTCCCCCCTACACTTTCTTAAATATAGGCACTCTTTGGCGTAGTGCCTAAGGCATTTGACTGCTAACCAGAAGGCTGGCGGTTCAAACACACCAGCCACTCCTCAGAAGGACATTTTCAGCAGGGTAGGGCTAGGCAGACTAGGTTAATGGCTGGTGGTATAGGGGTTAAAGCATTTGGCTGCTAACCATAAAGGTCGGCGGTTTGGACCCACCAGCTGTTCCACGGGAGAAAGATGAGGCACTCTGCCTTTGTAAACATTTGCAGCCTTAGAAACCCTATGGAGCAGTTCTACTCTGTCCTATAGGGTTGCTATGAGTCAGAATCAACTCGATGGCAGTGCGTTTTGTGGGTTATTTTTATGGTAGTGGGATAGGTGGAGCACTGGTTTACTAGAGTCTGAAACTGTAGTAGTATCTTGATCCTTATTTCATTGGATCAAGGAAACTTAAATTCCATCCCTGAAACTTGAAAGGAAGGGAATATAAAACATAACTCTTTTCAGTCACTTATTAATCTTTCTCTCCCTGTCTTACAAACATACATGAACGATGGCCACTTGTAAAGGTATTATTGTCTCTAAACACTAAATAATTACTAAGGAAGAAAAAAGAATAGGATTCTAACTAACTTGAAATCCATTTCAGTGCTACTTCCTCCAGGAAGCTTTCCATGACGTCCCATGTCATGTTTAAGTAAATTTCCTCTGTGCTCCCATATCACTATACTGAAATTACCTGGTTACTTTTCTGCCTCCCTCACTGGACTAGGAATTCCTTTGAGTCATTTCTGACTCATAGCCACCCTACAAGACAGAAGAGAACTGTCCCATAGAGTTTCCAAGGTTTACCAAAGCAGACTGCCTCATCTTTCTCCTCTGGAGCAGCTGGTGGGCTCGAGTTGCCAACCTTTTGGTTAGCAGCCCAGTGTTTTAACCACTGGGCCACCATAGCGCCTTTCCTTATGGGCAGGGACTAGATTTGATTACTCTTTGAATTATGGGTCTAGGCTGGCCCTCAATACAGTTTGCTGAGGGGTGTGCTACTGAGCAGATTTTGAAGGCAGCCAATTCCTAGGGTCTAAATCTCAATTTCCTGGCTCCTTTCTTGGAGCCTCATGTCGGAAAGGAGCACAGAGCTGCTGCTCCTCCAGCCTCATATGTTTGTGCTTCATTACCCTCCCTCTCGGTGGAAGCCGACATTTCCCAGCTGTCCAAATAGATAACATACAGGGACCTCACTATGACTTTGCTGAGCAAGGCAGTTGAATGATAACCCAAACCAAAAAAACCAAACCTCTTGCCATTGAGCCTATTCTGACCCATAGTGACCCATGACAGAGTAGAGCTGCCCCATAGCGTTTCCAAGGCTATAATCTTTATGGAAGTAGACTGCCTCATCTTTCTCCTGCCGAGCAGCGGGTGGGTTTGAACTACCGACCTTTGGGTTAGCAGCTGAACTCTTAACCACTGTGTCATCAGGGCTCCTTAGTTGAGTGATAAAACTGTTGCCATCCAGTCAATTCCGACTCTTAGCAACCCTGTAGCTAAGGCATTTGACTGCTAACCAGAAGGCTGGCGGTTTAAACCCACCAGCCACTCCGTGGAAGGAAGACTGGGCAATCTACTTCCACAAAAATTTAACCTCTTGGAAACCCAGTGGGGGTCGCTATGAGTCAGAATCGACTCAATGGCAGTGGGTTTGGTTTTGGTGTAGGACATAATAGAACTGCCCCAGTGGGTTTACAAGCCTATACTTAAAGGAAGCAGACTGCCACATCTTACTCCCAATAAAATGATCAATGATAAAACCAAAAACCCAAGCCTACTGCCATCAAGTTGATTCCGACACGTAGTGACCTTTTAGAACAGAGTAGAACTGCCCCCATAGGGTTTCTAAGGCTGTAAATATTTATGGAAGCAGACTGCCTCATCTTTCTCCCCTGGAGTAGCTAGTGGGTTCAAACTGCTGATGTTTTGCTTAGCAGTCAAATGCTTTAACCACCACACACTGGAAATCTATGTTGTTTTTGTTGTTGTTGTTATGTGCCGTCGAGTCGGCCCTGACTTGTAGCGACCCCTCCTTGGGTTGCCGAGGCGGTATCACTACGGAAGTAGAGTGCCCAACCTTCCTTCCGAGGAGTGGCTGGTGGGTTTGAACTGCCAGCCTTCTGGTTAGCAGTCACTATGCTACCAGAG